TGGATTAACCATCCAAAATTACATTAAGAAAAAAGTTTCCTGTATTACAAATTGACACTGACAAGTTATGATCAACAAAACCTTTTATATCTGACATTGCTGGAATTAAAAACAGTTGCAAACATTTGTTTTGTCTGGATATCAGAAAGTTCTGTCTCATTGGGAGGTCAACATATCTTTGTCGAAAATATATTATTGCCCATAAATTAAGTCAATTATTCAGCAAATCTATCCTGAATTATCGCTAATCGTGTCTAATGACCTCATTCTAGATAATCTTAGATAATTAAGTTTACACTAACTATGAAGATAATTATTTCGATTCCTGCAGTAGTTTCCTGCTTAAACTACATGTTAATAAAACCATATTTAAATTTTCTACAAGTTAGTTCTGATAAAAAGTATTAATTTTGATTGGATGATGTTACCGTCTTTGAATAAAGTAAACAATATAACTAAAATTTTGTGTTGATTTTTTTTTAAATGTGTTTGTATGTAAAGAGTCTCCAAACATGTTTAGCTGCAAATATTTCATACAATTAACTTGTCTAAAGAAAGGGTCATTAGGTCGCCGACGTCTCCAACCCTATTGAAGTCCTTAGAGAAGTCATTATTGAAATGTAGACTAAAGCCTGGTCATTAAATGACATAACAAATGCAGCAAATCTGTTTGCCTGTCCTCAGCTTTCCTCTACTTAAGGTCATATCTATCAGAGCCAGAACAATCTAACAATCTAAACAATTATTCTAAAATGGGACAGACAGACAAGCAATTAGCAAGGAATACTGACTTATTGACACTGCTAACACTGGGAGCCTTTCCTATATCACAACTTGATATAGACATTACATAAAAGTTACATTAAATACAATAGTTACATTTTTCCCAATCACCAAGATGAAGATTGGCAATATATTGATTAATAACAATGGTCGAACGTTTGCTTATTTTTAGAATCGACGTTTCATTATGTCGCACCATATTTATGGCATATATTCCTTTACTTTCTACTGATTTATGAAATCAACTATTATTTAACTGAGACTGGGTTATATTGGTAAATAAGACACGCAGTCACGTGAGCGTTCTACTGTGGAATGTCAATGACGTTTGTATAATCCTTGTGGTCATCTGTAAGTAACAATGTCTTATATAATCCATTCTTTTTTCATTTACTTCTGTTTTCTTTTACCTATTACAGTATACCTTTACACAAGTTTAAGTCACATATCGGCATAATCAAGAAAACACCACTTCATCAAAGAGGTGTATTCAATTTAGAAATAAAGTCAGTTTGGTGTAACTCTTAAATAGAAATGTCAATATTTGGCCAGACTATGTCTTCTATTTAATTGTCTTCAATTCGACTAGATTCTATTGATTGCATGTGTCAGTTGTCATCAGTAAAGTTCTAAACAAACAAACATAATACAAAAAAATCCCAACAGACACCTATATGATCTATGTACTTGATGTAAAATAAGAAAGTTTTTTTTTCTTTTAAAACTGACTAAAAACGAAATATGCTAATTTAAAAGAAAATATGAGCATACAGCACTATCTTAATTAATAATAAAGGCTGTTTAGTCCTATAATATGACGTCATAGAAACATTTCTATTTCACACCTTATAAAATATAACCAATGAGCCGTCAGCGTATAAATCACGTGATGTTCCAATGGAAATTATTATTTAAATTAATTTAGCCTCGTTTCCATTTCCTGAGTCCAAGTAATCCATATCAGATGCATATCGTACCTTATATAGCTTTATTTATAGACAATTGAATTATGTGCGTACTGAAACAGACATAATCAGATTGTCTTGCCAGTCAAATTCAATATTTGCAGTAGGAACAAATCTGTAACTTTCTATCGTAGAGAATTGCTGTCTTACGTCTGTTTTCCTTCTTATGAAAGTTTGTAACCCTATTATAATTGGCTAATACTTTAATCTAGACATAGATCTTAATGTTTATCTTTTTTCTTTTTATGTTTTCTTTTTGCAGGAAAAATATTATTATTATAGATTTATAGTGTCAAGTTCCTCTTTCTCTTTTTAGATTTATTTACTAGATAACTTAATTAAAACAGTCGAAATAATTAATGCCCTACACCGTATGACTATTATGGATTCTATTTTTGTTTTCGAACACATAATAAGAGTATTCCCATTGCTTTTTTTCTTGTACATTAATATGCACCCATGTTATTGCAGAATTTCACATTTTCTAATTTAAAATGTATGTTTTGTTTTATTGCATGTCGTAGTATTATATTTATAACAATGCTTGGTATAGTTTCAGTTTAGATATGCACGTTAGTTTAATTGGTAAGAGAATAGCACGAAAAGTTATAATTGTTTATATTCGAAATTCTCACCACTTTTGTAGTGAAATATTTAAAATAGTTCCACCATACATTCAAGGACAACCAGCCCGCAAAGCTCAATCGGTTTGAGCGCGACACTTGTAATCTCGACATTTTGGGTTCGATTCCCGAGCTGGCCAACTAAAATTACTAATCAGTCTTTCGGATGAGACTTTAAATCGAGGTCCCGTGTATTGGTGCTTAAGAACCAGAAGCTTCTGGAATTGGGGCATCTTTCTGTATCTGTAATCGCACTATCCTCCAAAAAATTAAAATGACTAATACTCCTCTGGAGGACTCACCCATTAAGCAACCGGTGGCGAGTATAAATAAACGCAAATACACACACAAGGAAACATGTCCTTAGGGACATCGCCAAGTCAATTATTGACAAAAATCACAGCTATTTATTCACATAACCGATGCAAATTCGTCTGCTTGTCCTAATCATTCGTCTGGTGTATAGTATTGCTGTTACATTTATTTAATCATAAGTAGATATATTATAATTTGATATGGAAATAGCAAGAGTTAATGACGGAACAGCAGACTATATTTACATTTTCTGATCAACACTTATCGTCATTATTGAATTGATTATATCTTTAAGGTCAAGCCCTTGGTTCATTTCTGTCATATCGAGGTACATCATTCCCTTTATAACTTATTAGAAGAAACAACGGTGGAAAGTGAAGATAAAATGCTGTTGTCATCCAATCTAACGTCGTAGAGCATGTTCTTTAAAATCGTGAAAAGACCATACCATTTGCATAATAAGTTAAAAAGCAAGCCTGGAAAAGACAAAGGATGGTATTCACACCGACATGAAGGGTGTTAAATTCTTCATCAAACTTCTTTCATGGTTAAGAATTTCTTATCATGTTATAATATTTATTTAAACTACACAGTTACTTCTGTCTGAATTTCTTAACGAACTTGGTTTCAAGTACACAAACAATCAATCAAATCAAATATAAATAGATCTATGGGAAATTACTAGGTTGGAAACCGGGAGCTTGTGCTGGACTCCCTGTTGTTGACTGGACTTCCCTGACTGGTGTCGTTCGGTAGTTGTAAACTCCTCGATATGAGGCCTTGTCAATATAAATTAGTCAAGAACCGGATTGGATGTGTGCAGCATTTTGTTTGCACGAAGCTTGTCTATTCATTTGTTCCTTGGCTTCCATGTATGATCTTATTTGAAACAGGGATAAAAGGGATCTATACAGATACACTATTAAATAACAATTTAAAATATTTAATTCAAAAACAACAATTCTTTTTAATACCATAAATACTTAACAGCTAAACAAGATATTCTCCTTTATAAATTTCTGACATTCTTGTAACTCAAAATAAATCTTAACATGAAACATATACATTGTACATGTATATGTTTTGAATTCTACAATATTTCACAATGTAGCTGCCAAAATGAAGAACAAATATGAAAAATGCCATTCCCTGTTAAAAGAATGAAAGACACATTTCAAAACAACAGGAATGCCAAATCACAAGTATGTGCCACATTCTCTTCAGATTTATACATGTGTAAACATTTCACATGTTCTAAATCTATCATTACAATTTAATATAACACATGTTTGCCCTTTCTACTACCAAATAAAATATGAGCCACATCAAGACAAAACCAACATAATGGGTTTGCAACCAGCATGGATCCAGACCAGCCTACGCATCCGCGCAGTCTGATCAGGATCCATGCTGTTTGCTATCAGTTCCTCTACTTGTAATAGAGTTGGTAAGCGAACAGTATGGATCCTGATCAGACAGCGTGGATGCGCAGGCTGGTCTGGATCCATGCTGGTCGCAAACGCACTATGTTGGTTTTGACATGACGCGGCTCAATTATATTCATTTCTGAGAACTTATATGCCTATAAAATGCTGTTCACATTTTTTTCTTTTTGAACTTTTCTACATAAAGCAATTATGAAAATTTCATAAATGCTCTTTATATTAAGTTTTATTGACCTCATAAAATCAGCATGGTATACAGAATTAAGCTTATAAAGATTGCCTTATTCAATGACCTGACAATTTTAATGTCTCATAGTTACTCAAAATACATAAAAAACAATTCAAAATTTTAATATAATAATTTCTACATCAATCAAAAAATGAAATGTGTCTATGAACTTCAAACACATTTGTTTTGTAATCTAATAAAGTCTAGTGTAGCACTTTAGCTACAACAAACTAGTCACAATTTATAAAACAATTCATTAAGAAATACAGAACAATATTAAAATAAGTAAATCATCAGTTAAATTCTAAAAAAGAGATTCAATAACCACTTTACTTTTTTATATTTAATTTTTTCATCTATTACCCACCCTTAGCTTTAAAGCCTATTTCTTATATCATGTGTAACTATACCATTGAATGAACCATAAAACTAAATTAAGACAATAAATTTTACATTTGAGGTTTACAATAATAGCTTTAATTTTATCTTTCTGGACTACAATTGTCTGTCTTTCAAAGCCTTCAATAAGACTTAGTATAGATCACACAGACAACTAAACTTTGCCATAAATTTCACACATACTTAACCTCCACACATAATTTGAGCCGCATCACGACAAAAGCAACATAATGGGTTACGTTGGTTTTGTCGTGACGCGGCTCATTTGATCTATTTCCCATTTGTTCCAGTGTCTGTAAATTACCGGTAAAGATCCAATATACTGTCTTTAGCTTTGTCTGTTCTAACTTGTTCTGTCTTTATTAACACCAGGAGGCAAATTATGCTAAAATCGCTGTAATATAATCAATGTGAGACTGTCTGCTTGTCTGAACTTTCCTCAATATATAGCTGCATCTGTGAGAAATAGGAGAAGATTCGATGACAACACATAGACAGAAAATTAGGAACTTTAAAGATATATTAATATGCTCAAAATTTGATATTTCAAAATATTGATGACTGCTATAAAGTCTTCATGTAAGTTTGAATAAAGAAAATTAAACTTGAGAAAAATGTTTTTAATTAAAGTAAAATTATTCAAGATTCAAGTAATAATTTACAAATAAGTTAGACAACTTTTAACAGCCTCCACTGAGGTTTTTGACAGGACAGGACTAGAATTTTTTTCGGAGATTTTTGAACAATTTGTCGTAGGGATAGACCAATGATTTGTGTGCAAAATTTCAGATCATTTGCTCATTATGTCTGGAATAACTATTGTTCAAATGTATTTGTAAAAAATGACGAAATAAACCCTTGTAAAAGCTAGATAGAATCACACAAAAATATACCTTTTAATTTTTTGTCTAAGAAGTTTCCTTTAATATATTTTCCAGATTTTTTCCATATTTTATTGCCAATGTTGATCCACGGAAGAATTTAAAACTTAAATGTTTTGTTACTAGTGGACCTACGTGGAGCTCCTTTAAAATTTTATATAAACAAACCAAATTTTGACAAAATGAAGCAAAACTACCTTGAGCATCTTGTTATTTGTTGTTTTTAATGGCAGCAATACTGGATCTTTTAACTGTGTTTGTTTTATATCTGCAGGTACCCATGATAAATCCTGCACAAAACAAATGACAGTGAATTAAGGTAACAGTATTATATTAGTACACATGTACTCATACTTACCTAAAAAAATAGCATATAAATCTGATGCTACTAAGAGTACTTTTTTGTTTATTCATTTTATTTACATATAAAACTAAAATAGAATTGCTTTCAAGTGAAAAGGGATATGTATTGCTTGACAAAAATGACCTAAGACATTTAAATATTCAATGACCTTTTGCAGGTTATTATCAGATTCTGAAGTAAATCATACAGATTTTAAAGTAAGGCACAATGGTACATGTAGAACAAGCATAACACTTGCCTTACTAGCCTCTGAGACAAAGTTGGTCCAATTTAGGAAAAAATAGAAATTTACCAACTGATTTATCCACGTATGCTACATAATTTAGAGAAAGAAATAATTAGTTAAAGAAATCTGTAAAAAATGGTTTTGTCAAGTAAACAATTTGAAAATCAGTGTTAACAATCACATTATACTTACAACTAGGCCATCAGGCTGTAATTATGGATTAAAGTAGCAGAAAACTATGCTTATTGTGTAATGTTAAGACAATTAATGAAAAAACTCCCTAAAATTAATCAATCTCAAGTCAATATCTCCAAACAAATACAGCTACTTGAAAAGCAAAGCTAAACACATACAAGGGAGATAAATGAATGTTGCACAAGAAAGCAAAGGTATGCCTGTACAGCAGTTGTCTCCCATTACAATTTACGAATTTACAAACTGGTCTATTGCTCTTACAATACTGAATTTTAACTTTCCTAAGTATTTTTCTTAATTGTTTCATAGCACTTGGCTTACCTCTATAGTTTTCTGCTGTATAAATTTGTCAGCAGTAGATTCTTTTGTATGGACATGCACAACCCACGAACATTCTACAAAATTTAAAATAATACTTCCATTAACAAAAAAAGGATTACACTCATTTCACTACTGTATGAAAGTTACAGGTAAATCAACTAATTTCAATTTATAACCATATAAAGGCATATACATATATAAATCTGACCTTGGCTGCTTGATTTAAGACTGTTTGATCCTGAAATCCTATAAATAACAAGCACTTGATAGTATTGCGGGCAATACAGTAGTCCCCTACCGGTCCCTCAAAAAGTTCTTTAATTGTCATACACTCCTGTGTATTGCCATTTATAATGAATTTGAGGATGAAGTCTGTATTTGAAAATATCGACCACAAAACATAATAAAATAAGTTTGTCTATATCACAGTAATGTGTTAAGTTTCCATGCTTAGTAAGGAAATTATGTTTATACAACCTTGTCATATTATTACGATGTGGGATTTTAAAGTAAATCCTATAAGGAATGAAGAAGTTGGAGTGAAAATACCAGTTTCTCAAAAAAAAATCTAAGTTCAAGGGGGACATAATTCTGGAAATAGTCTTGCTAGAGTATTTAACCTTCTCAAAAATGTCGAGTGATAATAAGAAACATATATATGAAGTTTGAAGTAGATACATTAGGAAATAAAGAAGTTATTTAAAAAAGACAACATTTTTTCCCCTAAAAAATCTAAGTTCAAGGGAGGTAATACTGATATTTTTGTGCTAGAGTTATAAACCTTGTCACATATGATGTGGTTGATGACCAGAAACTTATATTTAAAGTTTGAAGTAAACATCTTAAGAAATAAAGAACATATAGTGAAAAAGCTGAAAAATTTAAATCAGAAATCTTGAAATTCAGGCTATTTGTTGCCATAGCAACCAGAATTTTCAACATAGGAAGAAAAGAAAAAGATGTGCATAATCTCCAGACTGCCATCTACCCATATTTCAAGTTTCATAAAAATATTTTCAGTACTTTTTGAGTTATCACTGGATCCAGTTTATGTGTTAAATTTGCCATATTTTCAGACTATTTGTTGCCATAGCAACCAGAATTTTCAACATAGGAAGAAAAAAAAAGACGTGCATAATCTCCATACTGCCATCTATCCATATATCAAGTTTCATAAAAATATTTTCAGTACTTTTTGCGTTATCGCGGGATCCAGTTTTGTGGACGGACGGACTGACGGACTGACAGACAGACGGACAGACAGACAGACGGACGGAGGGTAAACCTAAAGTCCCCTCCGGTTAAACCAGTAGGGGACTAATAAATTGACTTTAGCAAACTCAATAAATAATGTAATATACAAGTGAATCCAGCATTTCCCTACCAGAACCATTCTTTTTGCTAAGAATCTTAAAGATATGGTGAAATAAAATACTGGTTGTATGGAGATAAATATAATTTTATCAGAGTCTAAAACTTATTTAACCCTTGTCACATTAAAAATCTTAAATGGACTTGTTCATATTTTAATCTAGATAATACCATTTATCATTTTGAGGGAAAATTTCTAAGTATTTACTGACTGAATAGCAAACAGTGCAGATCATGAACAGACAGCACAAATGTTTTGACTGATCTTGTCTACACTGGTTGCATGAGTAATATATGTTAAAGCAGGCTAATTCATATTTCCAATATCTGGAAAAAAAGTGATCCCTTGGAAGCATTAAATTTTTATTTATTATTTACTTTAAATCCAAGTCTGATAGGCAGCACATTTCTCCCATGTTGTGACAATACACTAAAAATGATAAAAAAATACACACACCCTGAGGTAAAGGTCTAAGTTGAGTATCTGCTATATTTAGTTTAAGTAGAAATCCTCGTAATGCATCTTCTAGACGAAACAAGTAAGGATCGTCCCTGAAAATGTATAGGGAATATTACATGAATGAGCTATTTTGATGGTTTGTATCGCTCGAGTTTATTGTGTAAAGTTGAAATCTCACAAGCTCTTCAGGCAAATGGGCAATTAGTAAGATAAATGAGATCATCTTGAAAAATTAATTCAGTATTTAACCTATACAAATATAATATTCTATTTATCACAATCCCAAAATAAGTAAAACAGCTTGTTTTCATAGACCTGCTTAGAGAGTGATCATTTAACATTACTCTATGCTATTTTTATATAATGCAAGTGACATCAGATCAAAATATGCAAGGCTATGCAATAACAATTTAACAGAGTCGTAAAAAACACACAGATGTGTAATACTGTAACCCAATTTATATTCGCGAATACAAATTTTTCGCATTTTGCCAAATTCGGACATATTCGCGAATATTAATTTCCGCGTTTTCTTGATTTCCGAAAAAAAATATTCGCGGATTGGAAAGTCCGATTGGGCCGTAAAATCCATTAGCCGACTATTAATCTTTAATAGTTGAGGTCATTATTGGTGTCTTAAATTGGATTACCAATACGCTAGCCTTATATTGTATTGGTAAGTGAATTGTGATCACAGAACGTGATTGACAATAGGCCTACTAGTATTTCATAAACTGTATTAAAATGTGGATGTTTCTTTTGATTGCTATATTGACATAGAGTTCTTTTGATATTTATAAAATAGTAGCAGTTTACTTAGTTTGTGTTTTTATTGCTTTATGGCAATATTCATAACAATTCATTACTTCCTAACAGGTGTCCGTAAAATTCGAATATATCCAGTCAAGTAGCTTTGCATGAACAACATTTAAAATAAAAAATTCTCTCCGATTTATTCGCGAAATAGTGCGGACTTATTCGCGCAAACAAATATTCGCGCTTCGTGGCCATCCGCGAATAAAGCGAATATTAATTGGTCGCGATTATTCGTTGGGTTACAGTAACTGACTTTAATAAATGACTTCCTATTACAAAATATAATCTTCCAGGGCTCTCCATTGACACAGGTATCTGGGTTTTGACTCATGAAAATCAGGAAATGCACACATTTGCCCATGACAAAATCTGCACAAGAGTCAATTTGCCACATGAGAATTTATAGCTATGCATCAATTATTACCTTCAATCCACTCCTAATCACCTATAAAATCCTATTATGTTCAAATCAGACTCATTAAAAATGTCAACAGGCCATTTAAGTTGTGTATTGTGATTATTTATATTATCATAATTTCTTATTTAATGTTAAACCATACCTGTCTTCTGACCCTGAGGCTCCAAGTTCAAAAACAAATCTTTCCACTGGATTCTGTGATTGGTCAATGACTACAACAGTTACCATGGAAACATCACCACTTGCAACCATGACCTTGACACTTTGAATGACCTTTGATATGTAGTCTGTAACATCTGGGTGTAAGCACATCTATCAAAAATTAAGGGAAAAAATCTGTTTCTTCAAATTCAATATTCAATCTAACATGTAACTTTTCTAGCTGTAATTCAGTTTAACCTTTGACCCCATGCGCATATTGTGAAAAATGGCCGTTTTCATTGAAAAGCCTCCTGTAACAATTTCCAAGTGCTATAAAACTATGAAAAATGCTTCAATACTGATGAACCTTGGCACATATGTTGACTGAATCATAACCTATGTAACAACATGCTCAATCTTAAATTTCCTGTTACCATGGCAATGGGGGGACGTCTCAAAATTGTGAAAAATCACTATTTTGCATTGATTTTTTTCCATCAAAACTGATTTCAAAGTGCTGCAACTTGTAAATGCAATGAGATAGAGTAAAAGGCTTTTCAGCGTTGGTTACACGTCACCTTAAGATTGACCTGAGGCCATTTTAAGCCTGGCACATGTCCAAAATTTTCTTGGCGATGAGGGGGACTACCGCCCCCCTTCAACCCCCCCCCAAACAGTGGCAACCCCCTGATGTATTATTCTGATGGGGGGCCAAAAAAGTGGTCACTTTTTAAACAACATTTCTCAAACGAAAAACAGTGTTTAGGGCCTTAATATGGTATTTTTCACTGTTTGAGGCCTTAAAGGGGGGGGGGGCGGACAAAAAGCCATCAAAACACGTCTATTTAAGGGAAAAGGTTAAGGTTGTCACTTTCATTACTGTTACATTGTCACTTTCATGAGCTTACATCATTATTTTTTTGCTGAAAATTTTAATTAAATCAGATATCATAGCACAAAAATTTTGCATAATTATTTTCAGGGTAAGAACAATAATTATGTGCTTAATAGGAATTTGAAAACTATTTTGATTTTAGAAAAGTTTTAAATTGAATATATACTTCAAAGTTTTGTGTCATAATTTACTTGTATGTTTTATCAATACAATTAATTTCTTTTTATAACAACGCTACTGTATTCGCTACAGAAAAATGTCTCTAAATGCATTAACAAAAAATGATGAATATATCAACAATTCAAGAGTCAGTCTAAGCTTTAAGGTTTTATAATATAATGATGTAGCATAATCAGTGTAAATACATTGATAAATAAATAAGTTGAATTATTTTATATCAATTATTGTCAGCCAATCACTGCTTATAAATTGTACCACATGACCATCCAATATATTTCAATGTTGGACATCCATCTAATATAATTATCCTTTATTGGACAGTTGAGTGCATTTGACTTTTTCTATATAATATCAATGATAAAAGCTGTTAACAACAAAATTATCAACATAAAGTTAACTAATGAGTGTGAAAGTATCTTGGTCACATTTTGTGTTTCCTCAATAAAATTTAGATATATAGAATAAACAGATACAATACAGGACTATATTTGGACTAAATTCACTTGTACACAGCTTGAGGTACCATGATATAGAAAAAAGAGATTATTAAACTTTTAACAGACACAATACCCGATTATATTTGGAATTGTACACTGCTGGAAGATTCCAATATATTGCTTGTTAAATATTGTTCCACCAGCCATGTTTTTGTCCAAAAGTATCCTGCCTTGTACAGTTTAATGATAAAAAGGTTTAATTATTTCATGATCGTTGAACGAATTCTTCTTCAATGTATTTACACATTTTTATAGATCTAAAAATATCTATTTCTATGATACCTGCACTGGAACATTGTACTTCTTTCTACGCTCAAACAAACCACATGGATAAAGTTTTCTGCTATACAATATGAGGTGGATTCCAACTTCAAGAAATTCAGCAAAGATGTCTGGGCCAACTTCAGTGATGAAAAACAGAAAATTAGAAACTGTATTCATGCACAGGAACTTGAAATTCTATCAATATTAATGATAATATCCAAAATATACCCCCTATACAGTATAAATAAACACATTACGGAAATGAGTGTATCTTCAAAAGTGATGATTTTATCAAAATAATACACCCATTGACAGTCTCTATATGAACTAGGTAAATAACCGGGGTATATCGAGTGTTTCCCTTAGCTTCGAATAAAATCAATAACTCTAATGCAAAACAATGCAAATTTAGCCGTTTTTAAACCGCTAGTTTGGGGCGATTTAATGTCCGATTTAAAAATTTATTGCACCAATGAAAAGCTTGTGATCTTAGCTTCATCTCGTATAACTATATATTTCAAGTTTTCAACACATTGAACCTACCACAAGTCAGACCATTTTACATACGTTTTATACAGTGAGATACGCAATCGGTTATCTTTACTCGCAATTCTACTGATAAGAAAAGCCTGTCGTCTGTGAGTTCGGAAACTGTCAATCTGTGTTTTATCTATTAACGCAACTTATTCATAAAAAAAGAAAAAGGATTAACAGAAATATTTGCAGAGCCAATATCAACTTATGGTACATTCCTGTTTTAAAACTTTATAATATACTTTTCCCCAGAATGGAATTAGTGATCTGAATCCTTAATTAATTCACTGAGACTGAGAGGTGACTTAAATTTTGATATCTCATGAAACATGAAACAACTGTATTTCCAAAAGACGAAAGTATAAATATTGTGTAGTTGTGTGCTGAATTATTGAGTGAATTATGTGACATCTTTGTATTGGGCTTTGTGTTAAAAATTGTGTCAAAGACTTTGCTTTATTCATAAAATTCTTAATGAATTTGGAAAGTGACCAGGTAACAATGTCTAACTGAGTTAGTATAGAGATTATTTAAACGGTAAAAAGTTTTCTTAGGTTATGTGGATTTGACAAAATGTCATAACAAATTACCATAATGGAAATATTTTGAAAAAGTTAGCGTTTATCATTATGCCTACCTTCAGTTTTGTTTTCGTCTTTATTCGCCATTACAAATGGTGTTTCTAAACAAAAGGGAAATAATTTGTGAATTTCTCCAGTTTGAAAAAAAACCGTCACATTACCGTGTCGTACCGTAAAAAGTGCCGTATCGTAAATAACCAGGTTTCAACTATACACATTATTATCATGATGTTTTTTGGGGGTTTTTTTTGTTATCTATGTTTGTTTGTTTGTTTGTTTGTTTGTTTGTTTGTTGTGTTTTTATATGTACTGCATTTATTTGGGTAAAGTCTAGTGTACACCTTTTTTAAAATAACATGGTTTATTTTTCTGGTCCTCCGGGATCATTGATCAAGCCGTTGCTAGGAGGCGTGAGGGATGTTGCACATTTTCATTATCCCTCATGTACAGACTCAATCAAACCGAGTCTGCAATTCTCTTGTAATTTTGTTGTATGATTAATGCTTCCGAGGGATCACTTTGTTTCCGGATTTTTATACTTCACAAGAGCAGGTGTCAAGTGCTGTGTGGCAGCTGTTAAAAGTTGCCCCGTACTTCACTTCAGTGTTGTTATATTTTTCTGGTCCTTCGCGATCATTGATGCAAGCACTATTAAGTGTTGAGAATTGAGTAACGCTCAAGCCGTTGCTAGGGGTGTGAGGGATGTTGCACATTTTCATCATCCCTCATGTACAGACTCAATCAAACCGAGTCTGTAATTCTCTTGTAATTTTGTTGTGATTAATGCTTCCGAGGGATCACTTTGTTTCCGGATTTTTAAGAATTAGTATCTAAAAATCATACTTTTTAATTAAAATATATGTAATTTCAGTGCCGTTAAATACAATATAAAAAGAGACAAATCATTGTGTCTAAGTTGTTTGAAGACAATTTTGCAAGCGCATGACCATTTTCATTATAAATATACTTCAAAAATAAGGAAAGAATAGGTCTAAAAATGAATGTATATAGGGATCGACCTTTGATATATTGGGTCATCACTTGACCGACTGTGCTAAATTGCGGATGTGACGAGAACCAACGCATTCATCTAGTGTGCTACTTTCCCAAACATTAGTTATATACTCCAGATTAATTCTCGTAAACTATACGGACAGAACCGAAGTGGGATCGAATATTTAAATGAATGCTTTAATGTTTTCATAACTGACAGGTTAATAAAATTAGACAACACATATACCTGTTTTATTTTCCATTTGGTAGATCTACCATATTTGAGTAAAACTAAAAAACTAAATCTGTCCATTCAACACATATTTCTGGGACAAAGATTATTTTTTTGCCCCATCATGATAGGTCTACTCAAATTTTATGACATGTCATCTGGTTTTGTTCTTTTCCAAACCAACATAGTGCGTTTACTAATTTTCGCTTAGGTAGGGTAACGGAGAGAAAAAGATGATCTGATTTTTTAACGAGATTGCCGAAAAGTATCAATCAGTCCTGTATTTACAAAGACAAATATTTGGGTCAAAGTCCATTGATAATGATTCTGATGTTTTACTTCTATTTTCACGTTTTCTTTCATCTTGTATACATTTCTCGTCATATCATGAACATGTATAATATCTATTTTGTAGATTGTTTTCCTTCACAAAAAAGTAAATATATCTGGAAAAAATATAATCCCTCGAAAGCATTAAAAACAGCCAAATTACATGAAAATTGCAGGCTCGGTTTGATTTGAGTCTGTACATATGTTCTAGATAGAAAATATATTGGTATCTCTTTGAAAGGAATTCAACTGTCAAAGGAGAAATATATATCATATTTGTATTAATGAAAACGTGTTATAAGATAATTAAAAGCCATGGAGCACACTTTCTTGTAAGTCATATCAATTTAATGCTTTACTTCCTTTTTTACAGTGATGTGCAAATGTTTTAAGAAATCAGACGGTTGTCCCGCGGAATTGAAAGAAGAACATCTAATGGACATGTGCTACGATAACGACATTATTCCTTGTTGTGATGATGGATAGTTCTGCATTACGTCAGCAATATTTGAGCCGCGTCACGACAAAACCAACGTAATGCGTTTGCGACGAGCATGGATCCAGACCAGCCTGCGCATCCGCGCAGTCTGATCAGGATCCATGCTGTTCGCTTACAAACCCTATAACAAGTAGAGAAACTAATAGCGAACAGCATGGATCCTGATCAGACTGCGCGGATGCGCAGGCTGGTCTGGATCCATGCTTGTTGCAAACCCATTATGTTGGTTTTGTCGTGACGCTGCTCATATATTAACAATACGATATTACAGAATATTTTATTTTAAGTATGATAAATGGCCCACGACAGCGGTACTATTTAAGCTGACTGGTCAAAGGCTTATGTCACACCCTTATTCAAGAAGGGAGAAAGTCAATCCAGCAAATTATATTCCAATCTCTGTATCATGTAATCTTTGTAAGTTTCTGGAACATAATTATATTACATAATACCAAACCTCTCCTACTGGTCAACAATCTCCTATACGATCAACAACATTATTTCAAAGAAAGGTTCACGCAAAAAAATCATTTCGCTGTTCTTCCATGTTTTTGTCATCGAGTCCCGGTGCTGAGCTCGAGCCTGTGGCAAATATATATGACTCCAGTGACTCAAACGAGACCGGTGTCAGCAATTATATATGCAGCTCGACTGAAAAAAACCGGATCGTCTGACTGATTGGCATGTATGACGATAAAACATGCACTTTAAAACCTAATTGCTTGAGCATTTTACTGCTCATATCTTTTTGTCTTCGTCTAAGAAACGCTCAGATGAGCCCAAGTCCACCAAAATGTATATATACCCACGTATACTGTAAGCTCAAACGACTCCAACGGGACCTAACTCTGTTCGGTTTGGTTGATGTAAACCCGATTTGTTATGCAACATAGATACTATGTACTTCACAATTATTATTTCAGTATTTCGTTTTAAAAAAATACAGAAGGACGGACTGGGTATTTGTTAATTTATATACGAATGTGGGATAAGGTTCCGTGGCCAAGAGGTCAGCGTTTGTTTTGTTTTTATTTGTTGTTTTTTATTTGTTTTGGTTTGTCTTTGTTTTGAATTGTTTGTTTGTTTGTTTGTTTGTTTGTTTGTTGATACCTTGATAACTATACTAGTTAATTTTTGTCTGTACATTTGATACTTACCTCTTGAGATATATATGATACCTTGGTTAGTATACTAGTTAATGTTTGTCTGTATATTTGATACTTACCTCTTGAGCTATATATGGTACCTTAATAAGTATACTAGTTTATATTTGTCTGTACAGTATACTAGTTAATATTTGTCTGTACATTTGATACTTACCTCCTGAGCAATATATGATACCTTGATAACTGGATGTACATTTGATACTTACCTCTTGAGCATTATACGATCCTTGATACTAGTATACTAGTTAATATGTTAAGACAAAATAACACCTCATGAGACAAATTGTAACTTAAGATTTATTTTGTTATATTTGTTTTCTACATCTGATATAATTTATGTAGTTAATGTAAAATATTTCTAATGCATTTCTTCTTACTATATGAACGATGCTAAATTGGATATACTATTTTGTTAATATGTATTATACTCGTTTATGTATATGTGTAAATATGTTATGCTCTTCAATATTGGAGGAAATAAAAGTATTTATTTTCAGTAATTATTAGTTGCTCCGTAAGTGAACGACAACTAATATCGGACAAGTTTTGAATAAACCAAGACACAAAAAAAAACCCTGTTTATTTATGTTTCTTCTGAACACATTATTTAACTTTAATTTTATATACAAATATAACTAATTCTAATTGTAATTGGTGGTAAATAATAATTCAATTTAACAATTTTATAATTAAACATTAACCGATACATTTCGAACGGGATTTCCTTACGTATATATTTCATACACGTGCACTCTTGTCATTTTTGTAATATCACTCACCGTATCTTATGATGTTATTATATGTCATATACGGTCTCTGACATATGTGTATTACGAGTTTTCTAACAATAAGTAATCGCAAACAATTAAATGCGTCGTAAAATAGTGATATTGGTGTTATAATTGATAATAATTATTGACACCTAAAACAAAAGAAATCATCTCTTATATATTTTAACAGTAATTTTGTGTGGTCAAATGTATGCTTTCCTATTACATAAATCATAGGTATGGATTGTGTTAAACTTCCTGTCTAAAACAACAAAGAAGCCGCTTTGATTTCCTTGTAATATAGATATATAGACTACGTACTAACAATATTCACCATATTGTAGAGTGTGACTTCGCCAGTGTACTTTACTTTCGGTATTTGGCTGAAATACGAAAATGTCCATCGTTCTAGTCACATCGCCTCATCTTATTTATTCATTTCAATAAATTATTTATTTATTTATTTATTTATTTATTTATTTATTTATTTATTTTATTTATTTATTTATTTATTTATTTATTTATTTATTTATTTTATTATGTTTATTCTTTTTTTATTATTTATAATGTCCATCGTTCTAGTCACTTCGCCGCATCTCTTTATTTATTTACTTTTTTATTTATTTATTTATTTATTTATTTATTTATTTAGTTAGTTAGTTAGTTAGTTAGTTAGTTAGTTAGTTAGTTAGTTAGTTAGTTAGTTAGTTAGTTAGTTAGTTAGTTAGTTAGTTAGTTAGTTAGTTAGTTAGTTAGTCTTTGGCGTGGGTTCGATCCCCGGGAGATGCTTTGGTAGTTTAGCTCGGAGGAAGGTAGTCTAGTACTGGTGTAACTCTCCAGGAACGATGGTTAGGAAACTACCCGCCTATGTGACTGAAATACTGTTGGGAAAATGCGTAAAATGAAATAAACAAGCAAACAAACAAATATACAAGTTATAAAATAACTATAATCACTCATTCTCACTTAAGTACAACATTTCATAAATTCTAGAACTGAAAAATGAATTTTCTTGTATATTAAAATTTTATTCCGTTCCAAAATTATAAGTATCTCGACATCTTAAATATAAAATATTACCAGTACATATGTCCTAGATTTTTCCCTATTACAGGTTTTCTAGATAGAACCAGAAAGTAAATTTCGTCATTTTCGAGA